AAAAGCTTATTTCTGAGAAAAAAAATTTTTAATACATTTGTAAACGATATATATATAAGCAAAAGTCCCCATCCCCAGTGATGGGAAAAGTTTAAGTTAATCTATCAATTTAACTTGTGTTAATTGTGTTGCACTCTTGGTTTCACTCAGAGCAACAGCTCTGAGCTACTTATACAGTCCACTGTGAAAAGTAATTGTTGAGTATTTTACTTGTGGTAAGAGCCGATCAACGGTAAATTTACATTTTTATTCTTTAAGTTGTGTCACATTTTGAAATGTGAATGATAGTGTGATTAATTCCTAACAATTTAATGTAGAATATCCTGCTTGCAAAATGAAATTTGTTATCAACATTATTCATGCCTGTTTTCCCATCATTTTAAAAGTGAATGTTGAGCTTTGTCTGAGTGTTCATCTGTCTCCTGTTTATGGTGGCCACCTCCTGCGCTGTGCTTGAAAAGCCACGCATGCAGGCAGACACAACAGTTCACAATATATATATAAAATATATATATACATGATTTATTGAGAAAATAAGATTGAATACTACGTACTATCACAACAGAATAACTTGTGGAAGATTATTTCTTCACAATTCTACATAAATGATAACTCTATTTGAGTTATTTGAAGTAAATGCCATAAATATGGAGTCAAGGCAATCCCATAGTTCTGAATAATACCTAAAAAAAAGCAATGTCAAATAATGATTTATTCAGTTGTTTGCAAACGTTAATTATATTTTGAACTGCTCTATCAGGAAAGATATTTATAAAAAAATTGGTTTCTTGTAATTTCCACAAAACCAACAGAAAAATACAGGATTCTAATACTTCAGATTATTTTTTCAGCTTTGAATTTTCTACACCATCATAAATGGAAATATCTTTAGTCATACAGCACTTTTATCTTTCTGTAAAAGCTCGTATAATTAAGAATATCTTGTAATATATTTATTGGACTCTATTTATATTTTCTTGTTCTCTTCATAGAAAATGTTCGGCGGAGTCTTCCTAACCTTGCAAGAGGAAGCGGTGGGATTAGACTTGGAAGAGGCAAAAATATCAGTGAATCAGAGTTACAGCGTCCAAGTCGTGTTGTAGTACCATATCAGAGAACAGAACCTAGGTTAACCCCACTTTCTCAGGTAGTTGATGTTTGTTAGTTTTTAAGCTGATATAAAATTCCTTGTATTAAATTTTAATTTTGTTTTAAAATATTGTAAGCTTAGGCTTGGGAGTAGAAATAAAATGTACTGCACACTGAGTGGTCACAAGTAAATAGACACCTAATTTTTCGTCAATTAACTGATTTATGCTACCTAATTTGTTTTCACAGAGCACTATATAAATGAAAATGGTCCGCACACTAATTATCTTGTGCTACAACATGCCTAAAACTCAAGGTTCTCTCAAATTGTCAGATTTTGGAAGGATAGTTGGTCAAGCAGGTGGTGGAATAAGTCAGCGGCAAATTTTGCAGAATTTGGGAATCCCGCTTTCGACAGTCAACAGAATCATTGTGCAGTTCAGGAAACATGGCAAGGAAACAACTGAGCAGCGTCTGGGTCATCCTGGTCTATCGGAGAGGACAAAAAGGACTGTCAAGAGAAGCATCGAAATGGATCCCAGATTAACGACTGTAGAAATGGCCAAAGTTGGTGGGATGAGCCCGAAATCTGTTCAACGGATTCTCCACAGATTGGGTTATCTTTGCAGAGCAGCTAGACGGAAGCCCTTATTAAGACCTGCCAACATAGTCAGACGAAAGAAGTGGGCAAGTGATATGATGACCAAGCCTCTGGACTTTTGGAAGACCGTATTGTTCTCAGACGAATCAAGATTCGCTCAATTTTCAGACTCTTCCAAGAGTTTTGGCTCAACAGATTGCAGCCAACTGTGAAGCATGGAGGTTTCAGTGTGATGGTTTGGGGAGCTGTTTGGGTTGGTAGGAGATCGAGCTTAGTGGAATGCGTTGGCAACATAAATTTTGCGAAGTACGTCGAAATAGTGGAGGAAGGACTCTTGCCACTTTATTCCTCGGGTTTCGTGGACAAGATCACAACGTTGTTCCAGGAAGATGGAGCACCGTGTCAAAATGCTAGAAACACCTAAAAGTGGCAGGAAGAAAATGGTATCCAGAAGTTGCCCTGGCCGAGCCAATCTCCTGACATGAACCCCATCGAAAACCTCTGGGCCATACTCGACCGGCAAGTCAAGAAACAACAAAAAAAAACAACTTCGAAGAGCGATCTACTCCAAGTTTTGTAGCAAGAGTGGGCGAAAATCCCACAATCTATAATTGACGAGATGATTCCCCAAAGGAGCAACGAACTCCACGAAGCGAAAGGAAGATCTACTAGATATTAATTAAATTATAAATATATCAATTCA